TTTTAAGTAACTACATCATTTTTAAGTACGAATAAACTTATTTAGAATTATGGTAACAATAAATGACCAAGTGGTGTTCAAAATTTTCTAACAAAAACTTGTGGCTTCTGTCTGAGTACATATATTTATATATGGAAAAACTTCGTTCAACATCAACTGATGTAACGGGAGCATTTTTCAAACTAACCAAAACATTTGGTTCTAAATTAATTATTTCCGAAATATTTCCAGCTAGAACACTGACTACTTCAGAAAGAATATGGCAACCTTTATTTTTTTCCATAGTAACTTCAAATTTTTTTAAAATATCTTTTCCAATATTACCTCTAACGTTTCGACAACATGACGCAAATTCTTTTATTAATGCTGTACTTTCGAACAATGACAGTTTTGGTGATTCTAACTGAGTAATTGTTTTTTGAACAAAACTAAAATTTGATTTTATAAATGAAAGTTCTTGTTGAGGCAAGTTACTCTGAAAAGTTTGTTTAGAATCCAAAAGAGATTGGGAACTTTCATCTGTTAACGTATCAATTATGTTCTTTATTTTACCAAAATGATCTGCATAAAAATTAGCTGCTTCTAACCATGTTCCCCATCGCGTTAAAATAGGTTGTGGTGGAAGAGGAATGTTAGGTAGCATTTCTTTATAAAGTTTAATTCTTATAGGAGATTTAAGATATACTTTTTTGACACTGGATATCATGGTATTTACAAGAGTAAACTTTTTTCGTATTTCCTCTGCAACTCTGTTTAATCCATGCGCTACACAAGTGACATGTATTAAATCTGGGAAAAATATTTTTAAATTTTGTCCTGCTGTCACCATATAAGGAGCAGCATCCGATAAAAGAAGCAGTAATTTATTAGAAGGAATAGTTGTTAGAAGAAAAAAAGTTGCTAATGTTTCTTGTATAAAACGCGAAATTGTTAAAGCATTTGTTTTCTCAAGTTGCTGGCATGAAATAAGATGGGATTTTGGTAAGGTATCTTCTTTAAGAACAATCAATAAATAAGCAATATACTTTCCTGAGGAATCAGTGGTTTCGTCTACAGATATGTAAAAATAATTATCTGCAATTTCTTCCTTAATATTAATTAACACCGACGAGTATAGCCCGTTCACATTATTTCTTCTTAGAGACCGATCACTTGGAACATTAAGTTTGCAATATTTTTTTAGAAACGAACTAAAATTTACATTTGCTAATTTTGAAAGCGGTATGTTTGCAGACACTAATGCGCGACACAAGTCTTCATTAAAAGTTTCTTGCTCATCTAATTTTTTTGAAGTAGATTGGAAACATTTAGCCATTGAAGTTTGATGTTTTCCTCCTATTTTTCCTTTTTTTGCAATGTGTGAAGCAGTTCTCACATGTTGGTCTATCTGAAATTTATTCTCACATGCTATCTATAAATAAAAATAAAAACCTTTATTTTAACCCAACCTTTAAAATATAAAAATATACAAGGTGTTTTTGGTTAATCAAATAACTGGTTTGGAAAAAACAACACTCGCTAAGTGTTTTAAATTTAAAAGAATTTAATTTTTTTTAATTTTAACATTCTGTATCTCGAAAAGTAAATAAGTTTGACCCCTCATTAACTATATCGTTTTGTTCAATTTTTCGAGAAGTATCTATTTAATAGAAAATATTAGATACTTACAATTTTGCCACAGACTGAATAGTAGATTTTTTCCATATCCAAAGACAGCTCTTTATAAGGTTTAATCCAAGTTGAAGCACTGGTTGTTTTAGGCATTATAAAATCACAATCTTCCTTTTTGTTACGCACAACGAGTGTTTACGCTTTGAATATCAAAACAAAAATGATTTACAAATCTGAGCATCAAATTAGAAATGTTTAGGTACCTAATTCAGTAAACTGGGAGATTTTGGAAAATCCCTAAATTAGGAACAAAACTATTAGCTGTTTACCTGCTGTTAAGATACAATAAATTGTAGATAGATTTGGGGATTAGATCATAAAATGCAAATGAGCGAACCCTTAGCGATTATCCAATAACTGAATGCCTCAGTGACCGAGACTTTCTAAGAATGTTAAGGGCTACTTAACCTCCTGAGACCCAGAGTATTTTTTAAATATTTTCAAAGTATTTTGGATTTTTGCCGTTTTATTTGACTTATACTTACAGCAAAAAATGACAAAAAAAATATGCCATGGAAAATATGGCTTTTCTCAATGTCATATATATATATATATATATATATATATATATATATATATATATATATATATATATATATATGACATTGGGTCTATCTATTAAGAAAATAAACTCGAACATAAGAAAGAAAGACTACAATAAATAATCATATTTTTTAACAATCTTTTATTATTCATTATTTTTATACACAGTACAATGTATTAGACCGACAGTCTTTGGTATGAAACTTTAAAAAACAATTTCATTTCCGTGTACTACATAAAAATATCTTACATTTTATACAAAATGCAGTTGTGGTATTTTTACAATTGATCTTTCTGCATCTATTTTGTTTGTCAGCATAGTCCACTAAATGTTCAGCCTTATGAAGACGTTTAACTTCGGCAGGTATGGGTTGAATTTCGACTCTTCTTTTTTTATGTTTTGGCTCCAGGTCTTCGTAGTCGCTACGTGTTTCAGAATCGGAGGACTGAGTGTTGTCCAAAATCATCTGCTCTCCCAAATCTAATTTGAATGATCTCAGTTGAGGAATGTTTTTGGTTGGTACATGTTTTTCCTTTAGTACTGCTCTGTATTGACACCAAGAGTTGCAAACTGCTAAATCTAGCATGTGGCTGATGAAACGAATTGTCCACTTTCTTGTACGTGCTCGTGCCGGACAGACTGCCATCATTCTGTCAACAAGGTCAACTCCGCCCATGAACCGGTTATAGTTTTTGATCACCTCAGGTCTATTAATCATTTCGTATTCCTTTTTACGTTTTGACCATCTTCTGCATTAATCTGGGTTGTTAGCAGCATGGTATGTAGACACAATCGTAACAGGTGTGTTGTCTAACCAGCGAGTTATGGCAATACTTCCATCACCTCGAACCTTCGTTTCTGAAGTGCCTCTTGGATTTTTCGTGAACTGTTTTTCTGGTGAAAAGATACAATTCCGAGGGACTCTCCTGTTTACAATCGTGCCTGTTGCGTGGAAACCTCTTTCTAGTAATATATCAGCAAGTTTTATTGTCGTAAAATAACGATCAAAGTAAAGGTGATGACCAGGAACAAGACTTTCACACAAATTTAGAATTGCTGATTTACCCAAGCCATATTTCTGTGCTGTAAGTTCTGGAAATGTTGAATCACCCTGATATACTATCATATCGCATACTAACCCATTGGGATTGGCAAGTACAAAAACCTTAATACCAACAGGGTTTGGTTTTCCTGGGCAATATTGATGAATTCCGCAATGACCGGTGAAAGGTATTATCATTTCATCTATACTTATATTATCAGATCTTATTTGAGCATGACAACCATTTAATATACTGTTGAACAGAGGCAAGACTTTCCAAATTTTTTTTATTCTTTGTTGATCATTCATTTCATCATCATAAACAACCTTTAGAGATGTTCTGATTGTAAAAAATCGGGTTCGCGTCATAGCATTTTTGACGATTGAAACACCATACTTTCTCGACCAATACATTCTAATCGTCGGGAGCTCTATAGCACTCATAACAAATAGGATGCCAATAAATGTTTTTAACTCTTTACTTGTCAACTTCAGCTCTGTTCCTTTCCTTTCTACATATGTTCTGTTTGTTGCTACAGTCATGGTTTCCATCATGCGGTCATCAATATATTGCTTAAAAAAATCTTCGGGAGTCCATAACTGACAATCCATATCTTTATACCTTGGCTGGTAAAGGGGTTTCTCTAGGGGAGTGAAATTACCAGTCCATGCATCAGTTACAACTGGTATACGGCGACCTCCACTACGTCTTACTCTTGTTCTGGTACCACGACTACAACCTGCTCTGATAGATCTACGAAACGTACGTGTTTTTTGTGTTAGTGACGATGAGAGTGATAATACTGACTCAGATGGAGCCTCTGAGGTTTCTTCTGAGGTGTCCGAGTTGTCTGAAGAATTTATGTAGTCAGAATCGTCATTATCTGATTTTGGCGACACAACTAAGGCATCTTCTTCATCATCGGAAAGGTTTAAATCCGATTCGTAAAGAAGCTGTTCAAGTTCTTGTTGAGTTAGTGCTGCAACAAATGAAACATTTGTTACATTTCCGAAAGTCATACAACATTGTCAGTATACATTAAGACCCTATGTAATACCTATATGACATAAGTTAAAGGGGGTTGAGTCCCCATGTAATACCTATATTACATAAAACTATTACGTGCCACAATCAAAATATATTCTCATGAATTTACAAAATACAGATCGAATAGCAAAAACTGATCATCTAGGTATACAATAAATATAAAAATATGTACAAAAAGTATATGATGACATTAATATTTTACGATTACTTACGTCGTGAACGAGGACGGTAGGCCATCTTTCATGCTTTATTTGTTATATAGTGTTATAACTTCACATATTTAACAGTTACATTATACAGGTCCCAACTCTAAGAAAGTAAAGTAGTTTTCTTTGATATCAGTTGCTAAGTTTATAATAAATTACGTGAGATGGCGTCACTAGAAAAGTTTGATTTTTATGTTATAAATATATGACACTAGGCCCCAGGAGGTTAAATTGATCTTGATCTTGATTAAAATGACTACAAAATTTTATAGAAGAATTGAAATAAATTGGTATGTTTGAAAATTTTATGCAAACTTTTATACAAATATGCCAAAATATGAAATATTTGCATAAAATATGCACAATATGCAAAATATGCAATATGCATATTTGCCGAAGTCTAATAATGCATAAATTTTTATTATAGGTTGTGATGGAGGTAATGCTTTTATGTGCAACAGTCAACAACCCTGGGCTGTAAACAGTACAATGGCATATGGTTTTGGTGCTGCATCTTTCAGTGGAGGAGTTGATGTTAACTTATGTTGCGCTTGTTTCTTGCTCAGCTTTACCGATCAACTTACAAACAAGAAAATGATCGTACAGGTAAGATTTACCTTTACAATAGAAAAAACTCCTTGTATCACATATTTATTTATAGGTTACAAATACTGGTTCTGATCTAAGTAGAAATCACTTTGACATTGCTCTTCCCGGAGGTGGTGTTGGAATCTTCAACCAAGGTTGCCACAACCAATGGAATGCTCCATGGACCGGCTGGGGTGACCAATATGGTGGTGTTCACAGCAAATCTGATTGTTCAACTCTGCCTAAAAATCTACAAGCTGGATGTAACTTCAGATTTGATTTCTACCAAAATGCCAACAATCCAAACATGAATTTCCAGCAAGTCAAATGTCCTGCTGAAATCGTTGCCAAAACTGGTTGCAGTCTTTAAATATAATATTTATAACTATTAGTTTGAAAATTGACAATTTTTAATAAATGTTACATTTTACTGTACAGTGTATACACAATTAAATTAAATATCCACATTTCGACATATTTAGAAGTGTTTCTTAGGAGATGTCAAGAAACTTAACGACCTAAATTCTTCTTTTTCTACTGTACCGTACGCTACGCTATTTGTAGGCGATTATGTTGGTTGGATTATGCCTATAAATTCTTTTATTATTGTTACGTCGCATCAGTTTTGTCTCTGAACCATGGGTACCATTTGGGATCTGGTCCTGTGCGATCTTCAGTTTTGCTCATTAACACGATTTTAAAAATATTACATCTGTCGTCTTTAAAAATATGACCTATATATGAGAGAATTGGCTGTTTAATGATGTTTAAAAGCTTTCTTTAAGTATTATTTTTTCTTAAAACCTCTTCTATGCTTGCTCCATTGATTACCATAAAGCGTTCGATATTAGCGAGAAGATATTAACAAATATTGGAATAGACACCTGTGATCTAAGACTTATAAGCAATGTTCACTGGAATCAAACATCGACTATCCGTACAGAGAAAGGAGAATTCGGTGATATAAAAATCAAACGTGGAATCCGAGAGGGATGTATACTATCACCCCTGCTGTTCAACATATACTCTGAAAAAATCTTTAAAAAAGCAGTAGGGAATGTTCAAGCCGGAACTCGAATTAACGAATAATGTATCAATAATATCAGACAGGGTGGTTACAGTTATAAATAGTGTTGTATATTTATATAGTTCGAATTTATTTGTCTTTATTCTAATTTATTGTCTATAATCTAATTTATTAAAACTCACGATAGCTAATTATTAATTTATTAAATAACTTTACAAATGTATTTATTTCACGTTTCGTTACAAGTAAACCGCGTTTACCGATCTTCTTATGACTGACTCCTTCAATAAAATTTCGTTCTTATATAAAGAACCGTAAGACCGCCTAGACCTGACCTGACCCTTGGCGAAAATACTGGAATGATCTCGTATTTTGGTGAAGGCGCTCGACTCGTTTTTCAACTGTTTGAAAAGCCTCGAGACGTGGATTATTCATAAAATTAGGGTCTAGAGGTTTCTGTAAACAACTTCGAATTTACTAGAACAGAAAACAGAATTAGTCATAATATATTGATAGTTATAAACGCCATAATTATCGTAACATTGCCCCCCTCTTAAAAGATGGTTCCTCCTGGAACCTTGTCGGGACTGGAACTGAAACGGTATGCTGGTATCGGCAACTGGACCCTCTTTTACAACTTCCAGTTTTATAAAAATGACAAGGGACGGTTTTCTCTCCGCACCAGTAACTATGCGGATTGTAACAGACTAACACCTGGACTTCGGTGTCTCTAAAGATCTCCTCCACCATACTTCGAATAACCCTCCAATCTAATTGGTGGCACTCTAACTTTGGCATGGCTAACTTTTGCACGTCGGACTCTAGTACGTGCTCTCTCAACTGAAGTAAGGCTTCCCATATATCTCGGTAGGTAGGTTGGTCACGGGCAGTGTCTTTTGTTACCAGGTAGAAAAGGTAACGTGATGCATCATGAAGTTTCAAGGTTTTACCAGGAGCTGGCACTTGGCATTGAAGTTCTGCAACTCGACCAAACTTCCTTCGAAAGACGGATGCCAACCCTGGTGCATCTTTGATACTGGCCGGGACGGTAAGGGCCAGTGAGTAGTCATCGGGAAGCGCGAGTAGATCTTGCCTTTCTTCAGTGGTAACACCATGTCTTGCTTTACCGGTACCTCCATAGGCACCCATGAATTCCTCAAACGTGAGGTCAGACACATCTTGGACTTGGTTTACTTCCACTTCTTCATCTACGTCGTAGTCACCCTCGAAAGACGCCAACCGGTTATGGTGTACTATCATCGGCTTTCCTCTCGGAATCTTGCTTATTCGGTAAATAACATCATTGATTTTCTCCATAATGAGGTATGGACCTTCCCAAAACTGCTGCAATTTGGGAGAACAACCTTTTCGCTTTTTGGGGTTATAAAGCCAGACTTTACCGTTCTTCTTAAAACACCCCTTTTCGGCTTGTGTATCGTACCGTTTCTTCATTCGGTCACTAGCGATTTGGAGATGGGAACGGACCAACTCGTGTACATCGTCCATTCTTCTTCGTAATTCGATCACATAATCTTCACCTGCTACATCTTCTCCAGGTCGACACCCAAACTCTAGATCACAAGGTAGTCGCATCTCGCGTCCGAATAGGACTCTGGCTGGTGTCTGGCCTGTTGATTCATTAACAGCAGATCTGTAGGCCATTGTGAAGAACGGAAGATATTGGTCCCAGTCTCGCTGATGATCGGACACCATCTTTGTCAAATACTTGCCAACTGTTCTATTCATTCTTTCTACCATACCATCCGATTGCGGATGATAAGCCGTAGTTCTTGTTTTCTTCATACCTAGTCTGACACATATTCCTTGGAATAAATCGCTTTCGAAGTTCCTGCCTTGGTCACTATGGATCTCCAAAGGCACTCCAAATCGGCTGATATATTCTTGGATCAACTTATCTGCAACGGTGGCGGCCTTCTGGTCTGGAAGTGCGTAAATCTCGACCCACTTAGTGAAGTAATCCATTACTACCAACATGTACTTACCTCCATTATCACTTTCTGGAAATGGCCCAGCAATGTCCAAAGCTATTCTTTCAAATGGGCTTCCAACATTATATTGTCTCATAGGAGCTCTCCTTTTTCGATAAGGCCCGTTACTCGTAGCACAAATAGTACATTTCTTACACCAGTCTTTTACATCGTCGGAACTGTTCATCCAATAAAACCGTTCCCGAATTCGCTGAAGGGTCTTTTTCACACCAAAATGCCCTCCTGATGGACTGTCGTGTAACTGACGAAGTACTTCGGCTATTCTGCTCTTTGGAATCACCAACTGTCTTCTCTTCTCTGAACCGTCATCATTTTCCAGGACTCGTTTGAGCAAGCCATCTTCCATGATAAATGAGTCCCACTGGGCCCAATACGTCTTAACTATTGAGCCTAGGTTCGATATTTCTTGCCAAGGTGGTCGACGGTTTTCCTCTTTCCATTTTCGGATTTTCTGTATAACTGGATCTCTCTCTTGTTCTTCCCTGATCTTGGTAGGCGTCCAGTCGTCGTGGACCACCGTCGTTCTTAGCACTGCTGCTTCCTTGGATTCCGTTTTGTTGCAGTGAGAACACTCTGCTGGGCATGGCCTTCTGGAAAGAGAGTCGGCGTTTCGGTGGCTAACTCCGGCCCGGTGCTCAATCTTAAAATCATATTCTTGGAGTCGTTCGATCCACCTGGCTATCTGACCCTCTGGATTCTTAAACTGCATCAACCACTTAAGGGCGGCATGGTCGGTTCGGATTAAAAACTTCCTTCCATAGAGGTATTGATAGAAGTGCTCTACTGATTTCACTACTGCCAGAAGTTCTCTTCTCGTGACGCAATAATTTCGCTCAGGTTTTGAGAGAACTTTACTAAAATATCCAAGGACTCTTTCCTGTCCTCCTTGAATCTGAGACAGCACTCCTCCAATTCCCACATTACTTGCATCTGTATCTAAGATGAACTCTCCTTCTGGCAGTGGATACCCTAAAATTGGTGCTGTGATTAAATGCTTTTTCAAGGTTTCAAAGGCATTCTGGCAGTCTACATCCCAGCGGTATTCTCTTGCTTCCTCTGTAAGTCGCGTTAATGGTTTAGCGATATCTGCAAACTTCTTAATAAACCTCCGGTAGTAAGTACACAGTCCCAGAAAACTTCTCACTTGATGTTTGTCAGTTGGTTTTGGCCATTCCTTAATAGAATCGATTTTTCCCTTATCCACGGCCACTCCTTCTTTACTGACTATATGACTCAGATAATTGACTTTACCTTGAAATAGCTGACACTTCTTGGGGTTTAACATCAATTGGGCAGCTTTAAGTCGATTAAAAACGTTTTCTAAATTCTTCAGATGGTCTTCAAATGTCTCCCCCAAGACGATTATGTCGTCTAGATAAACTAGGCATGTTTTCCAAGATAACCCTCTCAACACATTTTCCATAAGCCTCTCAAATGTCGCAGGAACGTTACAAAGTCCAAATGGCATAACGTTGAATTGCCATAATCCAGATCCTGTGGTGAAGGCTGTCTTTTCTTTATCTACCGGGTCCATTTCTACCTGCCAGTATCCAGACTTCAAATCCAAAGTAGAAAATAATTTACTTCCAGCCAATGTGTCTAATGTGTCATCGATCCGAGGCAGAGGATAACTATCTTTCTTGGTAACGTTGTTCAGCAAACGGTAATCCACACAGAACCTCGTTGTTCCGTCTTTCTTCTTAACCAGGACCACCGGAGAGACCCATGGGCTCGTAGAAGGTTCTATCACCCCGTCTTTCTTCATTTCCTGAACAATCGTTTCAGCTTCCTCTCTTTTCGCCTGTGGTAATCGTCGAGCTGTTTGACGAATTGGCTTAGCATTACCAGTATCAATTTTATGCTTAACAACGGTAGTTCTTCCCGTCTTTCCTCCTTTCGGTACGAAAATATCACGATACTGCCGAAGAAATTCCCTTAATTTCCTTTTCTCAATCTAATTCAGAGACTGTCCAGCAACCGCAACCATTTGATCAAATTTATCGTTGGAATTATCAGACGTTGTCGTCTGACGGATTATGGATGTGACAGGTACACAAGTTCCTACTTTTGTCTCTTTCTTGATGGTCACTGGGTAGTCATTGACATTAATAAGTCTCACAGGAATTTCTTTAGCCGAAGTCACTAATTCTTTTCCAATTATGATTCCACGGCCAACTTCGTCGTCATGATTCCAAGGCTCCATCATAACAGGTGTTCCTTCGTCCACAATTCCCTGTAGCCGCGCTACTATTATCGTTTCACTTCTCGCAGGCACGACTGTATCTTCTTTAATGGCTGCTTGCATAGTGTTGTCATCATGTGGATGGAGAAGTA